AGAGAGAGAGAGAGAGAGAGAGAGAGAGAGAGAGAGAGAGAGAGAGAGAGAGAGAGAGAGAGAGAGAGAGCACTGACAGTGCTGCCAGTCTGAAGACTCTGAGGTTGTGAATTGAAGTGCAAAGCTCGAACTTTTAAGTTATATATGAAGTTATGAACTTAAATTACTAAATCCAAAATTAATCATACTTCTTTTTTTTTTTAATTCTCTGTTTCTTTAGTCTTGTGCCTGCTTTACACTGTTTCCAACTCTGCATGTCTGCTGGTTAAATGTGCTGGTTGATTTGCTGCAAGACACGTGCTCCATACTTGCAAGCGTACGGACCAGACGAGCGTCCGGTCCGGTCTGGTTTGCCGGGTCCGGCACCCTCCCCCCGGACCAGACGGTTCCGGACGGAACCGGACGGGGGTGCGGTCCGGTGCCCTTCCGTCCGGTGCGGTTAGGTCCTGGACTGGAGCGGTGACTTCCCCGCACCGTCCGGGTTGGTAGGGACCCTTTTTTTTTTTCTTTTTTTTTTTTAGTTTCTGCAGGGTAGGGGCCACTGTTGGGGGGGAGTGCGCACCTCTGGGAAGTCCGGAGTTGCGAACTATTTGCAGATGTAGAAGGGTCCGAAGACTCCGAACTTCCGAAGTACGCAGAAGACTCGTCTTATGAAACAAACGACGGCGTCGTGACTGCAGCAATTGCATTGGCATGGAAGGCAGTGTGGCAGGGCACTCACCTGTTAACTTGTTATTACTTATTCAGTTCTTAATAGTTACTTGATGCAGACACATAAACACTGCATAGCCAGCAAAACAGAACACTGCAAAATTGTGCAAATGGTCAAATGACAGAAAAACACACGCACACTGCAACACGGGAGGAATGGACAAAATGCCAACTTAAAGACTTAAGCAAGTTAAGTTACTTAACTGATGATGCGAAGATGAACTACAACTTCTAGAAGTTGTAGTTCACAGTTCTTACTTTGTTCCAAGTTTAACCAAACATCAAAAGATAAACTGCGAAACTGCGAACTTTGCAGTCAGCAGCATCAACTCGGCCTAAGTTTCCTAATCCTCTGCACCTCCCCGTGCAGAAGTCTCACCCTCTTCCTCTGCGACCCCTTCCTCTTTCTCCTCCCCTTCCTCTTCCCCCTCCCCTTCCTCTTCCTCCTCGCCTTCCTCCTCCTCCTCGTCTTCCTCCTCGCCTTCCTCCTCCTCCTCCTCGTCTTCCTCCTCCTCCTAGTGCTCAGTTCCCTCCTCAGCACTCCGCGGTTCTCCGTCGATGGGATCATGATCTTCATCATCCCCTTCCTCTGATGAATTTGAAGACGACGAACATGCTTCCGTGCTGTCATCGTCGATGATGTCGTCCCTCTTTCTTGTTTTTGCTGCTGCTTTTTTCTTTGCAGCGGTTTTCTTTTTTCTTAATGCCTCCACCGCTGCCTTTCTCTTCTCAGCTCGCATTGCTGCTTTTCTTGCTGCGACCTCTTTGTTGGTCAGCCGCCCTCTCCTCCGTTTCTCTGGAGGTGCAATGACCTCCTCCGCAACATGTTTACCATCACGACGACACTCGTCACCGCACCACACTTTACGTTGCCTGCTGCTTCCGTCTTCCTTTCGACCCTCCACCCAATCGCCCGTCTCTCGAGCCCGCAGCGCCAGCTCCCGGTCCTTGTTATATCGCACTTCAGGTGCTGGGCGCTGATGGCCCGACAACCTTCGCAAGGCACGCTCCAGCTGCCTCCCCGGTCGAGTGTTGAAGTGCCAGTCATTTGTGTACTTATCTATGTGCGCAAGGCCCTCCTCCTGGTCCATTGCATTGTCCACCTCGTCATTGCGCAACCACCTCCTTGCCATAGGCACTTCCTCGCCGTCGCCGTTGTCCTCAGACTCGTCTTCCTCCTTCGATGCGTCATTCTCGCCACTCGGTGTGCTGTTCGTCACTCGTTTCACCCATTCATTGTAAAATTGCTCTGCCTCCTCCTTCAACTCGGCATCCGGCATTTCCTCCACCCACGAAATGCGGACATCATCCACACCACAACCGTGCTCTTGCCTCCACTGCAGGTGGAGGTTCCAATTGTTGTAGACGAGCTTTGATAGGCGGGTGGGCATAAGCTTCCTCCTCCTCCTGCCGAAAACGAGCTCATGCAGACTCCAGTTGCGTTTGCATGCCGCGGAAAAGCTTGCCTGGCCCAACAGTCTGATCGCTTGGGGCTGCAAAAGATGCAGCCGCGAGCCAAACGCATCCCACCACATCGCCGGGGTCTTGGTGCGTGCTGCGCACAAAGCTTCCTCTGATTCCAAGCCCCCCCTCAAATTCACCCACTCGTCAACCTGCCAGCTCATGTCATCGAACATCTCGTTCGTGCACCACGTGTACAACCATATGTTGAACCCGGCTCGGATCTCGGTGTCTTTGAAGGAGCCCTGCGATCTGTACTCCGGGTCCAAGAAGGCTGCTGCACAGTGCAACTCTGAAGTCATGAACGCCCATCGCTCCATGAGGATCGACTCGACCTCTGCCTTCTCGAAGTCTGTCAAGATGTCCAACTTGCGAATCGACTCCACCACACAATCCATTCGATGATAAACCTTGGCGACTGTTGCGCCCGGACCATCGACAAGCTTCAGTAGCGTCACGATGGGGTCCGTGGTCCTCAAGGCCTTCTCCACCCCGCTCCCAAAAGCCGCCATCCAGGATAGTCGCCATCACCTCCTCGAATTGAGAACGCAAGTGGGGCGGCACTATGGAYGACACCCACCCGCTGGCAGCCACAGTCAATTTCAGGGCGTTTCTCCTGTCCCACAGCGACTGCAACATGATGATGTTGGTCGCGAATCGAGTGACGCCAGGCTTCTTAATCTGCACACCATTCGATTTGGTCAGGAAGAGTGCTCGAACCTTGTCGTGGTTCATCACAAACTTCCCCAGCACATTCCCCCTCTTTACAGTTTTCGCAAACCACGGAATGCGCTTGTCCATGTCCTTCAATGCGAGGTCAAGGGCATGCGACGTGCAACCCACCCGGAATATCCACGGGTATTTTTTCTCCACCAACTTCCCGGCCTTCACACAAACCCGAACATTATCCATGATTACCCCAACCACGCTTCTTGGGTCAATCTCCTCAATCGAAGTGGTTAGTATTTTGTAGTACGCACTGGCGTCTTTGTCCTTTCCGGCTACCGACTTCCAAAAGACGGTGCCGATGGGAGAGGACACCATGACGTTTACTTGTGGTCTTCCCCGCCGGTCAGACCACCCATCTACTTGCACCATACAGCCTGTGCGAGCCCACTTCTTCGCCAACCTTCCCACGTTATCGACTGCCCTCTGGTGTTGTCCGTTCAATCGGCCATTACGCGCCTCCTCTCTCGAGTGCAGTTTCCACGATGGGTGGGCCTCTCGTATGGTGTTAACCATGTCGAGGAAGAACTCGTTCTCAACCATGTTGAATGGTTGGTTAGTGCACGCCATCCATCGGTCTACTCTTCTTGATGTCTGCTCGTTCTTTGTGACAACACTGTCGGTCTCCTCCAACAGCATCTGTCACATCCGTGCAGCAGGTGCAACAGATGCACTTGTGCGTTGCACCGTGATACCTGGCCCGCTGCCGCCCACCCCTTCATCACAAGCATCGCCCGCCACTTCTCCACAAGCATCGCCGACCCCTTTCACCAACCCCCCGCCCATTGAAGCAGCCACCAAACTGGTGACAACAGGTAGGGCATTGGCACCGTCCCTCGGCATGCCCACGTCTATCCTTGCCTGCCGCAATCCTTCCTTCCTTCTCAATATTTGCTCTGTGGTCAACGTTTTCGTTGATTTCTCAACTGCGCAAACCCCTTTCGTGAAATGTTCCTTCAGGCGATTGAGATTGCTCGAAAATTTTAGATCACAGTAATGGCAGACCCACCACTTTGCCCCCTTCGAAAGATCCTTCCCCGAGGGGCCAAGGACTTCGAAATGGCGCTTGACAAGGCTGGCCTCATGCTTGCGGCTCGACATGACAACCTACACGCAGCAATGATAGAGCCAGAATATCAGCCCCTCTCCACCTGCACGCAGAATAGCGCTCCCGGCTTCGAGAGAGAGACGAGAGATGGAGGAGAGATCGAGGAGAAATGGAGGAGATGGAGGAGATGGAGGAGAGAGGGAGGAGAGATATGGAGGAGAAATGGAGGAGAGAGGGAGGACAAATGGAGGAGAAATGGAGGAGAGACGGGTGTAATAGTAGGAAAGATGGAGGAGATGGAGGAGATATGGAGGAGATATGGAGGAGGGATGGAGGAGAAATGGAGGAGAGATGGAGGAGAGATGGAGGAGAGATGGAGGAGAGATGGGTGTAATAGAGAGAGAGAGAGAGAGAGAGAGAGAGAGAGAGAGAGAGAGAGAGAGAGAGAGAGAGAGAGAGAGAGAGAGAGAGAGAGAGAGAGAGAG